GCAAACAACTTGAGTGTTTTCATTATATTTGGTGTCGCTTATGACTCATCATGTGGAATTAGAACAGAAAACTTTGTTCCAGAGTGGTTTGAGTGATTTCAAATTAAAATGCTCGAAGGGCCGAACAAGAACAAGCATCTAAAAACATCTCCTCACAAGAGTCTAATCATTGACAATGAATCAGCATTGTAATCTATGACTAAGGGGGAAAAGGCTGTGTGTGTGTGTGTGTGTGTGTGTGTGTGTCTGTGTCTTAGGCTAACACAAGATCTCTTTGAGGGGCAGAGAATTTGTGTGTCGGTTAATCCGCATCGTGTTACTCACATACCCGGCATCGCTGCTGGTGTATGTCTATTCACTGTCAGCTTAGCCCACTCAGTCCCTAATCCAAACACCACAGAGAACGACAGAGACAGAGTGAGAGAGGCAGAGAGATAAACCTGTATCTACATGTGAAATAATTTCCAGAGTTTACAGAATAAGGTCACAGCTACGCCTGTTAATGTGGCCGCGTCGCTGCTTCCTCCTCTCACGCTCCCACGTCGGCTCGTTTAAATGAATTTAAGCCTTGGTTATCCCACGATACGACAAAGAGCGGCAGAGAGAGAGAGCGATGGGGAAACAGATTCCACCGGTTGCCGTGACAACAGACGCGACCGAGTAGAGATGAGCTCGCACGCCGCTGTAAAAGCGAATGAAGCGAGTCAAAGGCGAAGACCATCAGTCAGCCCCCATTCAGCAGCAATCACTCCACCCGGTTGGATCCATGTGAATGGACAAACAATGACCCAAGCCCAGCTCATCCCAGTGATTTGTTGTGCTGATGGGGGCCGGTCACTCTGTGAGTGTGTGAGTGTGAGTGTGTGTGTGTGTGTGTGTGTGTGTGTGTGTNGTGTGTGTGTGTGTGTGTGTGTGTGTGTGTGTGTGTGTGTGTACTGGCCATAAACCTAGGCCTGTGTAGGAGCTCTGACCGGAGGAACACCAAAAAAAAACTTTGAAGCTCCTTTTTCTCCAGGAGCAGCACAACAACAATACGTCCAGCTTCTCTCTCAAATCTCCTGTTTTTATGTATGTCTGTTTTATGATGTCTCTTCAAGAGCTCAACTTTTAATCTACAAATATGTAACTTTTCTTTATCTTGCAAACAGAAATTCAACATCTTTGGGATTTAGGATTTGCAGTTTTTACCTGTGGGACTTTCCAGCATGAATATAAACAAAGTACTGAGAATACCTACAAATGTTTTACATAATATCTGAAAAAAAACTAAAATAAGACCTACATTCACGTGTGCATGAGGTAGAAAAAATTAATTACACCACTAGCTCTTAAAAAAGTCTCCACATGACGTATTTCTCACCCAAAACAAAGGAACCTCATCCAAATGTGACTGAAGGCAGACACACATTCCAGGTATCTCTTTGCCAACAAAGCTGAGTTAGACCTTGGCCAAGAGAAAAGAATCCCAGAGAAACACATTCACTGCAGCCCAGAGGGGATACTGTGAAAATCAGGGAAGGAAACACACCCCCGTCCCTTTCCTTCACATCAAAAACAAAACACGAAAGTCCAGCGTGCAAAGGGTGAAATCTTCCTCTTTGAAAGTGATCTAACGATAACAGGAGAGGAGGCTACTCCGTGCATTAATTATGCACAAGCACCCACACGAACACACGCTCTTTAGGCTAATGTAAATACGCACAAGAGCGGACTGACCTTTAAGAACCATCGATATCGATAAAACCATAAACCAGGTAAACGGCGGTCCTTCTATATACCTGACTCTACAAATCAATCTCCTCACTGATATGAGATCACTTCTGTTTTCATCACAGAACGCATGAGCTGCGCGTGCTTCACCAGTTAAAACATGCAGCTGTCGGCGTCGAGGCTTCAAACGACCACAACCCTCTGAACTGAGGAGACGCTGAAGAAATAAAAGATGTGCTGCATTATGTATGATGGCACACAAGGGTAAGACACACGTTTGTCTGCCTGCTACACTGAATTCAGAATGAAGAAAGGAGAAATGTAAGATTTGGACATTGTAAAAAAAAAACATATTTGATGTGGTTTATGCTCGTATGGATGAGATTTTAGTAACAAGAACTCAAATCAGTTGACTGGATTTGTTTAAAAGCAATTAGCAGTCAGAGTTTTAATATTGATTAAAAACAGTTAACATAAGAAATGAGCTCCCTCCGCCGCCTCCCTCACAGACACACGACTTTCCAGCTACTGACTAAAAAATGTGCTTGAAGAAAGTGAATGACTAACGCTGTATACTTGCACAACAACTAATGCTGAGGTGCCCCCGGGCAAGGCACTTTGCCCTCCACAAACAAGAGCTGCTCAGCACAGCAGTCAACTGTGTTTGTGCCGGGCAGCTCCGAGGTGTGAGCGTGAAGCATCACTGGAAAGATGCTCAGTCAACACTCCCACAAGTCTCCCCCCTGAGTGTTGTCAAATAAAGGTTAAGCAGTGAGGACGGGATGATCTGCCTGCAGCTCGCTAGCAGCTCACAGACTCGCGAGTGAGTTTTAAATGTGCCTTTCCTTTTGTGCGTTATAACGGTTTCTGTGAATGCAAGTTCTGCAAAGAAGCCGAAAGTCTGTGTTAAAAGGAAGCTCCTCTCCACCGCAGGAAACACGGCCCCTAAAACAAATTGTAAATAGCCGAGCCGATATTTACGCCCACATTTGCATGACACACGCCTAGCAGCTAGTCAGGCTTGCTCCTTAATAGGGCTTTCACGTTATTTTCGAAATTCAAATGTGAGGGGGGTTCCTATTCGAACTGTTGTGACCTGTTCGAATCCAAAATACCAATGATGATGACCAATCCCAACAGAGTGGACCAGCTGGAGGACGGGGGGGGGGGGTCTTAAAGAGTCAGGAAACAAGTGTTTCAGACAGAGGCTGAAAAGAGGAGCTGCAGCAATGGACAGTCTGAGGAAAGTTATTTGTTGTGAGATCATTAGAGCAAGTAAACCTTTAAAAAAATACATTCGATCGACCTGAATATGAGAAGAATACGTCTCCTTTAAATGTGTGCATGTGTACCTGGGTGCACTGATGCCTCACAGACAGCAGGACAATGTACCACAGAGACGTGGTTCACAGTTGTGTATGTGGGTGTCAGCTGGCATGCTCTCTCTCAAAAGGATTGTAGCTGTCTAACAGAAGCTCTTTTAACAATTATATTCAAATGAACAGGGGAAATTATGCAATTTCATAAAGAGACCCTTTTAAATTTGTGGTTCACTCAAGACCTGTGAATTTCAGGGCGACACAAGAGCCAAGCGCCTTCTGGAATCCATCTTAGAAAGCTGTCATTTCACTCCTCGAGTCTCAACAATCGGCCTGTACGGAGCTTCACAGATTCACACTCTCCAAACGCGAGACTCTGTAACTGGGTCAGAGAAGAAACAGTTTATCTGCCATGACACATCATGTTATCCAATCTTTCGGAGGAATAGTGACACAAGCATGTTGTGGCATTCGAAAGCACACACCGCATGCTCGTTTGCCCTCTCACAACAAGGAGCTCTGTGATTGGATGTGACATTGGGATGAACAGATTTGAACCTCCACCTAAAGTCAATGCTGACAAACAGGTCGGACCTGCTCCGCCGCTGTCTTCGCTCGAGGGGCCGTATACTGTTTGCAAACAGGTCTACTTGACGGCTGCGTGATATAGTCCTTGTGGTAAAAGGTCGCCTGAGCACACTGTCGGAAGTGTTATGGCGACTTCAGGAGCAGATGATGTGGAAGAAGCTCAGTTGATCTGCACCAAACTCCATTAGGAAGGAAGGAAGGATAGATACTTCATTGATCCCGTGGGAAATTTAGACTTCCAGTGGCCGACAAAACACGAGAGCATAAGAATAATAAAAGGTCAGAATGAGTCATGAGTAAGTTCACTGCAGAACTACTACAAAGCTGTGACTGTAAAGAAGTATGTGGAGAAACTGACAAAACAAATATTTTAAGCATAAGGTGATTGAAAGTCACAAGTGACCGAGGCAGAGTATTGAAGCCAAATATAAATTACAGGTTTAAAGATAAATAACCCGAAGCTGCACAATGTTTTAAATTAGACGAAATGATCACTCATCACAAATATCCAGTACAGAGGTAAAACATGATACAGGAGTTATGCCAGTGGTTTAATCAATAGAACGCTTTTATAGAAATGTGATGCCAATATGAAGAATGACAAGTTAAAGAGGAAAATGTGATGATTAGAGTATTAGAGATTCACTTTGAGGTTAGAATAGGTTCTGCTGAAGACAATATCTGCATCTCAGAGGAGCACTAAATAAATCAAGCTATTTTTAAATGGAATCTGGTAAGTTGACATTATAGTCTTGGGGGTAAAGGGTCACCTGAGCACAGTGTCAGAGTTACTTTAGTGTCACAACAACTTCAATGTCAGCTTAGCAGATGATGTGGAAGAAGCTCGCTTCGTCTGCACCAAACTCCATTAGGAAAACATCGCGTTTTTATAGAATGTTATTATTATATAGAAATGAGAGACCGATGCTAAGAATGGAGAATTCAAGAGTAAAAAGATAATATCAGAGTATTACAGCCGAGCCGAAATGCAAAGAGGCTCCTGAAGATTCGCTTTGACAAAGTTAACATATTCTGCTGCGGGCGATGTTTGCTTTTCGGGACGAGCAAACACTAAATCGAGCTTTTTGTAAATGGAAACTGGTCAACTGGCAGGAAAAGAAGCAGGACAGCTGTTCGCTTGGGGAAAGAGGAGGTTTGATGTCCAGCGATTAAAAACTCGCGGGTTAGCTTGATTTTAAACTCGACACGTTAGCTCGTGTTTGGTTTGTTAAACTGGACGTTTCCTACTTAATTAAAAGAAAAAAAGGGAGGAAAGGAGAAAAGACTCGAACGAGCAGCGAACACAAGTCGTTCGGTTCTAAATGTGTGTGTCCGCGGTGAGTTAGCAAACGTTAGCCCGACTTTTGAGAACCGTGTGGTTACCATGTTAGCGCCGCTGGTGTGTCCGCGTCCCCACTTCTCGGAAAGTTTCCCCCGCCGCAGCGCACCGGGCTCCGGGCTCCACCTCCGCGCTCTCCCGGTCGCTCAGGTTTGAAGTTGCCCGTGGGTGCGTTAACATCGTCGGGGGAACTCCACTCGTCCCATCGCGGCTTCCACGCGCTCGACACCCGACTGCTGCCGCTGCTCGAAGCCGACCTACCGACCGACCGACAGCACAGACCGGCGGCCGCTGCGTGTGCTCCACAAGCCCGCCCGCCGCGGTTCTCCTCTCTCCGGCACCGGGAGCCGGGGAAGCGCGAGAGCAAGATTACACCCCGCCCACCGCGCTGCACTCAGGGAGGGGCTGCGGGACACATCGATTGCACCCTCACTAATTGATTCACGAACTAACGAGGCGCTGTCCGCTCCCATCAATTATCCCTTATTCAAATCTACCGCAAACATTTGTTAGAGTGGAATTCAACCAGGCGAGAAAAAGAAAAGCAGCGGGACTTCAGATCATTATTTTTAAATGACAGTGCAACAACAGATAGATGGATAGATCAGGTGATTATCGCGGGAAAATATTTACCTTGATAGAAATATGAGAGATGGTTCCGCACAAGGAAGAAGTCGTTTCATTCACGTTTTGACAGACAGCACGAACAGCTAATGATGACGAGAATAGCGCCGCGCCGAACCGATCGATATTGTTTGTTGTAGGCCTGATTCAGCAAAATGTCTCAGGGTTATTTTCATGCTGCCCGAGAGGCGGTGACTGAATTTGATAATAAAACATTTAGAAGTACAGTTAAATGTGTTTTAATATCCTTTTCTTCCCAGTTGCAAACTACAACCCCAGCCAAATTGAAAAAACTGATAATTACAGTTTTAGCAAAGGTTGAATTTATGGCTGAGCTGTATTGGACTGCATTAGATTTTATAAATAAGACATAGGAAAAATGCAGAGGATTAAAAAGTATTATATTTCCCTCTGAAATGTTGTTAAGTTGTTCTGTAGACTTGAGTAAAGCATCTCAATGACCCAGCATCACATTACAGTATCTAACGTACTGTAATGTGATGCTGGGCTATTTATTAATGCATCAGGTGTTTCTGTTTGTCTATGATCGTCATCAGTTGGTTATTATTTCCACCTAGAAACTTCTAAAGCTTCATGTTTGTCCACAGTTATCCTTAACCCCACTTCTCTTTCAGTGCCAGGCCGTCTTCTTGAATAGCTCGTGTTTCCAGCGGACTAAAGGACACAGTCAGCTTTACAATTAGATAAATGAAATAGGTTTACATGACACAGGCCAGCTCTCCAGTGAAAGGATACAGATGAATAACCCCACAAAGGGTTGACTGGGGGTTGAGTCATGAATGATTTAAAGTCACGGCAGTTCTACTCTGTCCGCCTGATACAGAAGCCAATTAGTAACGCTATAGTGGCCCCGTCACATGATCTGGACCTGCTGATTTACTGTCCGACAGTAAGAATTAATCATCACAATAAACTATTAGTTCATTGGCTGCTTCTGCAACAACCTGCTGTATAGTAAAAACCCTGCAGTCTGCTCACAGGGGTTTTCTCTGCCTCTGTCTTCTTTCTCTTTCTCCTCTGTCATTCCTTATCACCTTCTCCTCTCTCTCATGCATTCGCCGACCTCAAGCCCAGTTTATGAGGCTGGCGAGTGAGTCAGCAGCCAGTTAATCATTTTGACGAGTGCATGTGTGCTGATAGCTCGGACACGCCGTGATTCAGCCTGCAGGGCAAAAAAACAGCACCTGGCGTTGAGGCTGCCTACAGCGCCCAACATCACCTTCATTGAAATCTGAACAGGATCCAGGCTGATTCAATCATATCATTTCCACGAGGCGCGTGTGTGCATAGTTAGAGAAATCATTGCCACAGCTCAGGGACAGAGAGTCTCTGTGCCGTGATCAATCCAAAAAAAAAAACTAATTAGCTTCCAGTCCATTTCCCACCAGGTTTCGATTCATAAAATCCATGTTCATGCGTGTGAAAGAGAGATAACAGGCGGCGAGTTAAATGTGACATTTAATTATGGCCTGATTGGTGCTCTCTCTGTACGCTAGCATTGATTAGGTTCAGAGGGGGCACTGGCTGTGGGCTCAGCTCAAAACAACTTTTGACTTCTCTGAGAGGAACTGTGGCCCCACATCACACGTATGAGGCTGGAAAACAGCAACAGAGGAACATGCGTTATATCGAGCTTCGAGACCTCTGAAATAGCAGTTCAGTGAATTAGTCAAACCTAAAATAAATAAAGCAAGTTCAGTTTCATTTGATCAAAAGCACTGACAGTGAAATCTCCATTGCAATCCCTCTGCACCATAGACTGTTTATACAAAGCTCAGCACACAAACAATAAAGAGGTGACAGTATACTGTAGAACTGTTTGAGGAGAACAGAACGTTACAAACAGGCAGGATTAAAAAACGGACTCTGCTCTAGTTCTACAAAAAGTGAGATGCTGAATGAAAAGCTTGTGTGTAAACTTCAGAATTTACGTCAATAAGATGATGTAAAAATCATATGTGCACAAAATCCACACTGTTGATCACAAGATGCCATTGTTCCCTTTTCCCCCACCAGCGACGTTTGTGTTCTTTATCGACTTCCTGCCTCGCTTCCTGTCTACGTCTCCAAGCTTCACTCCAGCAGAGAGCTCAGGGACACCGATACTGGTGCTGCGGAGCATTCATATAGGTGGGGCTCTGGATTGTTTTAACTGAGGACAAAGCTCACGATGTTCTGATGAGGCTCCTGGAATGTTGGAAGAAGTTTGGAACGTCATGAAGGGATACCTCCATGTTTTGGTGAAGAGGCGGGGGGGGGGTTCAGAACGTTCCAGGGGGATTGTGGGACATTAAGAAGGCAAATGGGAACATTCTGTAGGGGTTGTGGAATGTTTAGGTCAGGGGTGGGTCAGGATGTTCTGGTGGGATGTGGAACGTGTGAGGGAGGGATCACATTCGTTCTGTTGAGGCTTCTACCATCAGAACGCTCTGATGAGGTTCTTTGGAATGTTTTATAATTTATTAGGCTGCACTGACTAATATTCATACATTTACAATATATAATATATTGTCACTCATAGCGATGAAACCACAAAGAAATGATTACCCGACTTTACAGTTCAACACAGCTCCACAGATCATTGGACCAACCCTCAGCACATTGTTTCATTTTATGGTTATTTTTTATAGCTTTTTTTTTTTTTTTTATAGCTTCTTTCGTTGCTGAGTGGCCAGAAAAGCAAACAAACAAAATCGAACCCACAAAAATGCTTTAAAATCACATCACGAATAATTTAATAGTTCTCTACCAGCACACGTGACGTCAGTGGAGCTGAAGCTCCCAGAAAAACTCATAAGATGAAATGCGATGCAACACAATAACCTTGCATTAGTAAAAGTATTCTCCTGAAAGCTATGCCTGTGTGGTTGGTATTGTATTGGAGTATAATGTGCTGGAGGTATTTCAAATACATTTGTCCACATGCAAAAAAAAGACGAGAAGAAACTTATATATATATATATAAGAAGCATCCACATGTCCTCATATCCTCAGTTGGTGCCAGAGAGATTTGGGAAACATTTGGGTTAGTAAAGAGCAGTCGTTGGACTCATTTTTCATTTTTCATAATCTATAACAGAGAAAAGCAGCAGATATTCACAGAATCTGCTTGATGCTTCCTATGAGTTGAAATATAAAGAAGCTAGAACGGCACTGGGTAGAGCTCAAACCTCCACAGACGCCCAACAGTCCCATTAAATTCTATCAAGCTGCACCCAAATGCTTTTTAATCTTTCTTAAAAACAAACAAACCTACTCACAAACTGACACTGAAACCAAACCACACTCTGTCTACCGTCACTGTGTGAGTCACCATAACTGATTTTAATGCTGCTAGATTACATCATGTGATACCTGTAACCACCTCCATTGTTGACGTTCATTATGTTCGTGCCAGTAAAATTAACATCGGAGCTAATATCAAATTCTCATGCCTCTCCCTCTCTCTCTCTCTCTCTCTCTCTGTGTGTGTGACTTCATTGACTGCGTATGTGAGAAAGCAGGTGACAGACAGAAACCGAGAGCTAATTGACATGCAGCTGTTTTAATCCGGTTGTTGTCGCGTCTCTGAGTCAGACAGGAAGGTGAAACTCTCCAGAGCAGAGTCTGTATGTTTCGGCGGCGTCTCTCTGTGAGAAAACAAATATCTCTTTGCTTCCTCATTTCTTTCAATATCTCATTTCCACTCCAACAGACACACGCCCACGCTCATTTTGTCGACATAATAAAAACTGTCCGGTCGATTTATGTTGTGGGGATGAGATTAAAGCGATGGAGAAGATCATATTTAATTAACCTTGCCCTCATTTTCTCAGACAGGGAATGAACGTGTGCGAGTAAAGGATAACTTTAGGGGCTCCTGGGAAAATATACAGACAGAAATAATTTAATATTTTACTAATTTGCGGTGATCTAATGTCTCGATAATGCCACTGTCCGTGATGTGATGCTCTAATGTGTTTGTAACGTTGCGTTCAGTGACACTAGGGCTCAGAGGTAAAAAGCTGCAGTGCTATAACGCCTTGTTTATTCGTTGCACCAACCAGGGCAAAGTCAAAACCACATCACTTCGGTCACAATCAATAGAGCAGCGAGACACATGCACATCCTCTGGGCTCAGTAAGTGGAGCAGTGAAGTTACGGTTTTTTGGGGGGGGGTTACAAAACGACTACCCCATCACACCTTTCATCACAAACCCTCCTCATCTCTCTGTGCCTGCGTGGAACCTGTCCTCAAATCTCAGTCTCGGTTTTTTTTCAAATCTGTCAATCTCCCTCTCCCTCTTTTTTTTTTTTTTAATGTTACAAGCTGATGCTTTCATGCCAGCAATTACATTTTCTCTCATGATGCCTCCCACTCTCGGATGATCATTTTCCAGCTTTTATCTCTCCTGCTGCACCTTAGCATTTATATTCAGTGACCCCTTCTTACGACGTAGCCTCTCGTCTCCTCGTGTAGAGCTCGTGGTCTGTGTTGCCCTGAAAAAACAAAAATATATGTAATCCTTGGGCATCTGGCAGAAAAGATGGATCAGTCACTACGGCTGTATCCGGCTACATAAATGGCTTTTCCATCTACTGATGCTGATAAGCCCCATTAAACTCAATAGTGGACAAGTAATGATCCTTATATTTGCACGAGAACACAAACAAGCTGCGACACGAGGGGATAGACAGCACGAGGGAGGCTGCTGCTGTGGTGACAGTGATTAATCAGTCTGAGCTTCACCAGGCAGACGTAATAATAAGAAATGCACTCCAGCAGCGGG